GCCCGCCGCCAACTCGTGGGGAAGCGCCCCGTTGTCTTCCTATTAAAGACCTCGGCCCCGGGAGGGTGTCCTGTCTGTCCCTGAAATGACCCAGCGCGATCCCCGAGCCTGCCCAAGGCCCCGGTGCTGGGAGAGGGCTGGCGGGCCACGTGCCCGGCCCCTGAGGCCCTGTGGGTCCGGGAGCCGCCGGGGAGGCACCCCAGGGAGGCCGCCCTGCAGGTCAGCGTCAGAACCAGGCTTTGTCTGGGCGCCACTGGGCCCTCGCCCGGTCTGGCGCCTTCAGGGATGGGCTGGGGGGCTCCGGCCCAACTCACCACTGTGGCTGCCGAGCCCCTGCAGCCCACAAACGCTGGAGCAGACGCGGGTGTGCCAGGATGAGAATGGGGCCAGGTGTACCCCAGCTGTCAGCTCTGTGACAGGTGCCTGCATACCGGGGAGACTGCATGCCCGCCCAGGCCACCCCGAGGCCCGCTGCCGGGGGCTCCCCTACAGCCCTGGGGACCCCCCCCCCCGCAGCCTGGCTCGGCCTCGCGCCCTGAGCCCAGACAAAGCAGCACTACAGGCTGGCTGACAGGCACTTTATGCTCAGGGCGTCTCAGCTGTTCTCCCACTTCCAGAGCTGGAGGGTGTGGTCGTAGAAGGAGCAGGTGGCCAGGAGGCTGAGGTCCAGGCTGGCCGCGTCCAGACACAGGTCGGTGCCGCAGATGCCGGGCCCCGCCGTGCGCAGCTGGCTGCAGCTCCTGGCGCCCTCGGCCAGCTGCAGCGAGGCCAGCTTCTGCACCTTGGGGCGGCCCTCCCTCTCGTCCGCTGGCCGGTCAGATGGGGATGCGGCCAGCTCCCCCACGGCCCTGCCGTCCGGCCTGGCCCCAGGGTCGCCCAGAGGCCAGGAGCCTGCGATCAGGGAAGGCTGGGCCTGGGGCAGGTGGCAGAAGTAGAGCCGGGACCAGTCGGCGCCGTACACCAGGGAGCCGGGCAGTGTGTGGGACATGCAGACGGTGCACGTGTCCTGCTTGTCCTCTGCGTGGGCAGACGGGGGGGCGCGTCACCCGGGCACCCTCCAAGGAGCAGCCGCCCAGCACAGCCATGGCTGTGATCGCCGGGTGCCCAGGTGCGCTGAGGGGCGGAGCTGAGGGAAGGGGGGTCCACGCAGCCCAGGCAGGGCCCCAGACCTGCGCTCTGCTGGGGAAGGGGCAGGGCCATCTACCATGGCCTGCGGCCGGGCCCCGAGAGAGACAGAACCGGGAGGTGACCCTCGGCCAGAGCCGGCTGTGGCCGGCGGGCCGGGGTGCAGCGGAACCCTGTGGCCAGGGGGCAGGGTGCGCTGTCACCAAATGGGCGGCTGGCGCCCAGCTAGTCCCTGGTAGGCAGGACAGTGCTCCGGGCGGGTGCGGGGCCGGCCCTG